GATTTGTCTGTCTAGTTGTTATAGAAAAGGTATTTGAGTTTTCTTTTCACTAAGATTTTATCATAAGAATTATAGTGCTTAGCCCATATAAGTAATATCACCAGTCAATTCATTATTAAAATGTATTTTCTTCGTAAAGTTTGTTTCTTTATTCTAATTTTATTACAGTCATCTCAGTATCTATTTTTTTCATTCTTACACTAGCAAAATATTTTCTTTTTGTAATTAGTAATTAAAAAAGTAAAGTACAAATACATTCATCCTCTTTAATGTAACAAAATAACGATTTTACCATGAATGTTTATTATTTAAATTTGTTCATCAAATAAACATTTGGTTAGAACGATCTGTTTTATCTTACATGTAAACAAAGTAATTTACTTAAATCAGTTTCATAGAATCATAAAAGTATCTGATCATATGTTTAAATCTCACTTTCATCTTTTGTATAGTATTTACATGAAAATTAAATGGATATATACTTTAAATGAATTAATGATTTTCAATAGCTCAAACAAAGCAATACAATTAAGTAGGTATAACTGATCAGGTTCAAAATAATAACTTCAAAGATTTAAGAATGAAAATTGAAATGAAATGCTTATTATTGATCATTCAATGAGCGATACTTACTTACTTACTCGTGAAGGAGCATAGGCCGCTCATCAGCATTCTCCATCCAATCCTGGACAATCCTTTCCAGCTCCTTCCAGTTGTTATTCTTTTTTTTTCATATCTGATTCTATTTCCCGACGTAATGTGTTCTTTGACCTTCATCTTTTCCGCTTCCCTTCAGGATTCCAAGTTAGGGTTTGCCTCGTGATGCAGTTTGATGAATTGCGTAATGTATGTCCTATCCATTTCTATCGTCTTTTCTTAATTTCTTCTTCAGCTAGAATCTGGTTTGTTCTCTCCCACAGAAGGCTTTTGCTTAATGAGTAATACGCAAAAAGATATCAATGAAGAATATCTAGGATGTATGATAACTGTGTTGTATAGTAAAGGTGATGAAGGTTACAAAACAATGATGGGAACACAGATCAAGAAAAAAAAATGAAAAAACGTCCCCTAGATAAGTATTTTTATAACCTTGTCACTTCAAGTTATTGAAATACAAGGATATAAATCATTAGTTATAATCAAATCATAGGCACATTTAAGGACAACTATCTACTTAAGTAATTTTAAAATATGTAGATTACCTACATAGGTCGAAATGTTATTTTCAAATTCTCATCTATTAATAGTAACTTATTAACCCATCGATAGTCAACATGGTATTTATTGAAAAACTCTATAAGTATGTAAAGAACGAAAGAAAAAGATGTTATGGAGCAAATGTATAGAATTTTTCTTTTAAATATGTTTATGTTTAAAGATAAAGTAAGTGATTGAAAATCTTGAAAAATACATTGTTCATGTGAAAATCATCTACAACTTACTTTGTCATGAAAGAATTTTACTTAAGTTTATTGTTTAACAAGGTGGGTAAATGTCTCAAGGTCGGTTTGAGTATCACTTATTTCAGTAGTATAGTATCATGACACTGGAATGTTCAACCTTCATATAGAAGAATACCAGCGTAATGAACTGATAAATGTTTAAAGACATCAAAATGAAGATCATGTGAATAAAAAACTTATAAAATATTATTAAAACACTTGATTCATTTAACTAAGGATCCTTATTCATATATATGTTCACTTGTGAATATTTTGTGAGAAAGAAAACAAGGAGAGAAAATACTAACTAGTGATTATTTAAAAACTAATATGATAATATTCTCAAACGTTCGGAGCATCTATTTTTTCAACTGTGTAAATACCGAATTTAGACTACCAGGTTCAGATTTGCTCGAATTGAATGATTATGAACCTTAACGCTATATGTATGGATGGGCTCTTATCAACAGAGTTAAAAGTTATCGTGACACCAATCACTGGAAAACTCAAACAGAAACACTGAAATACTTTTCCTTCCTATCTATTCCTTAACAAAACAATAGACAATTATATTAGAATCCAAGTGTCTTATACATGTTGAATCGAGAAATAACTGTAATAACTGGTCAGATAGGAAACTTTTATAACTGAATACATTCAGAAGATATTAGCAAATACTTTAAAAATATGTTTTGAATAATTGCAATTCAATTGTATGTTAAAGAGACACTTGGTGTCAGTATTGTAGAACTAATTCTGAGAATTCTTCACTGTATCAAATATTTATAGTATTGAATAAACCTATGATCATTATTATATCAGTCTCAGTATTGTTACAATTATGTAAAAAAATATAGTACTATGACAAATTCAAACGAATTTAAACGAAATGGCCGTTCAACTCATTCAGATTTTCCATGGTAGTTTAACTTAAATCGACTCGTAAATTCGACTATTAAGTTACTACAATCTTTATAAACCATAATAGTTTAAATCATGAACCGATTGTTGTTAGACCACCGTTGGAAACCTGGAAGCACTGGATGGCCGTTTCGTCTTAGTATGAGACTCCCCAGCAGTGTGCATTTACGATCCCACTTCACCAGATTCGGACCTAGAACCTATTTAGACCACTGAGTCGGCATCCAACTATTGAAATTACTAAAATCTCCACAAAACCCCTTCTGGTAATAATCATCTGCTCACTAGTGACTGACTTCAAGTGGTATTTCCTGGAGTTCTAGTGAGAAGCAGTGATCAGTGGAGCTAATCCGAGTCGAGTAGAGACAGGTATCTACCTTAGTAGAATGGAAGGTGGTAGCGCAATTTCGTGGATTGGTTGATGTTAGACGCTAACACCGTTGGATGCCGGCTCAGTGGTCCAGTAGGTTAAGCGTTCACGCTCGAGACCGGAGGCACTGTGTTCGAATCCCGTGAGCGGTATCGTGAATGAGCACTGCTGAGGAGTCTCACAATAGGACGAAACGGTCGTCCAGTGTCTTCAGGTTTTCAACGGTGGTTTAACATCAATCGGTTCATGATCTTAATCAAAAAATTGTAAGTAGTTGTATAAGTTGTACATATAAAATCATGATTAAATTTTTAAAGATAGTTTTATAATAAACTAACAATAACTCTAATGAAGCAACAAACAATTTATAATTGTTTTATTCAAGTGTTTTTTATTTGAAATCTTCACTGATATCCAATTAAGATTTTATATTGTATCATATTCAGTGTATAACTTTTTCCAGATTACACATTGTTTATAATGAATTGAATGATAAAAAGCTTTTAATTATACTATAGGGAAAGATTTAAGTTGGATAATTGTTTAATTTTATTAAATATATGTATAATTTAATATTGTTTTGAAAATTTTAATCAATTCTATTTAGTATCTATGTTAAATTTTGTACTGTAAAATCATTTAATTGACAAGAAATGTCGATTCTAACAGTAATGAAATTTCTATTAGAAACAACGATTACTTCTTAGGCATTCTTAATTTTTATACCTTGAAATAAAAGATAGATAATAATGATAAACTGAAATTGAATTTACACTAGAGTTGTATATCATTCTAATTAAATTTTTATTTTTATCTGTTTGTTTTCATCAATTGTAAATATTTGATTTATATAACACTGTCATAATTGTGTATACATTTTAAGAGGTTTATACAACATTGAAAAAATATTGATTTTCAAATGTTATATATTTTATATACATTGAAGTGTTCTTTATTTTGTTTATACCCAAACAAAATCATTGTTCTGATTGTTAATCGGAATTTCTCAATTTAAAAAGTTTAAGGAGATTAGTGGATTGTAGATATGCCTTGTTGATAAACACTATCTATAACAAAATCAAGGTTTATAGTATCCGGTCAACTGTTTCCAGTCAGCTAACAAGAAGGATTCAACTGTTCATATTGATTAGTGGACTCATATAAACATTTGTTTGACATTAAAGGCAGTTATAGCAGGAGTGTTACAGCATTTTTCTATCTGAATATTACAATCTTTGAAATACTTAATTTAAATATCATAATGAATTTACGTTCTTTTCTATTTTGACATATACATCTAGGTTCCCTGTTGTTTGTCAACAGTAATTTAGAGAAAACTAATGATTCTTGTAGGATTTGAGCTAGCGTCACCTAACTTCACAATCTGTTACGTTATCACTAGGATATTTGGGCCGTGATTGAATTCTTCTACGAGTATATTGCTTATAATTGATTGTTCATTAATTCGAGCTGGGGATAAACTCCACGTTGTCAAGCCATCTATATATATCGTAGTTACTTATTTAGTCACTGAACTGTAGATATTGTGGAACCACTCCTATTATAGAATTAATTCAAGGTATGATTTCTGCTATCTTGTGGTTTTTCTTCCATAATGACTGAGTGCGGTAGAATTGACACATCCGTACCATGATGGAGTGGCATTTTTGCCGTAGAAACCTCAACACTTTACATGTAACCTAGCAAAAATAACAGGAAAAGGAACGTACCCTCTATTATGGATTAAGACAGCGTAAATAACAATTCCCGCTTCATTTTGCTTGGTTGTTGGGTGCAAGGTCGAAATTGTGAACGAGATCGGGGTTTATCTTCAACCTTAATATGTAACCAATATCATGTTTATATGAATATTCGTCAATATCAGAGCGAATAGTTTGACAAAAATTGGGCGCCGAGTATAGAGAAGTCATTATATGTGAAAATTATATTTGAATTAATATCAGAGATTGAAATCTAAATAATTCCAACATTTCGTCCAACAAACTTGTTTGAACTTACCCTGAAGGCGTTCGGACAAGTTTGCTGAAAGAAACGTTGGGATTATTTAAATTTCAATCGCTGAGATAAATTCAAATGTAATTTTAACATATAATCACAACGTCATGTTTGTTCAGTCTTTTAGTGACGATCAAATTCTACCGATTATTTTGTAAAGTGGTTGCTCTTTTATTGTATTCCTTAGATTTGAATCGAAATATTTGTATCATGGATTAACTGTGATACTTTGTTTTATTTCATTTAATTAGAATTTGAAAATTGGTATCAACAATGTTTCATGGAACCATTGAATCAGAATGATCCAGAATTACATAATAACCAGCTTAATTCAAATACTCTTAATAACACAATAAACAAAAGTAATAAAGTAACAATTTGTAATGTAAAACAGAATACCGATGAAAATGATTATTTAATGCAATTTAAACGAGCTCAAGAAAATTATTTTTCAAATCGTGCTGACTTATTATCATATCAACGTACTAAAGAAAATATTACATATAGGGTAAGATACTACTGTTTTTATTCGGTTTATAACGATAAAAAGTTTTAAAAATCAGCTATCTGTCGAGGATATATAGCTTTTTGCAAATACATTAAAGCAAGAAGCGTGTATCTTTGAGTTACAACTCAGTATTCAGTAAGGCTAAAGTAACCTACTGTGATCCTTAAAGTTGTCTAGGCTTTATCACGTATGTGAATGTGGGTATATACGAACGAATTTTCTGGAAATAATGAAGTCAGTTCAAGTTGTCATACTAACATAGAACATTGAAATGACATTCCAGGGTAGTGGGAGTAGTAACAGTACTAGTAATAACAGAACCGATTAGCCAAAGACAGTATGATTCGAGAAGAAACAAGCTGTCCACGAAATATGAAGTATGATCTGATCTGATCTTGGCCAGACCATTGTTGAAAACCCGGGAGCACTAAATGACCATTTCGTCCTGCTATGCGGTTCCCCAGCTGTGAGTATTCGCGACCCCACATCTAGGAATCCAAGCCAGTATCTTCGTTATCGTGTACGAACCCACAACGTCTAAATCGCTAAACCAGAGTTCAGTGGCGTGAATGATTAATTTCGATCGATTCGCGCACATAACCGAAGACCCTCGGTTCGACTTCTGGATTCATGTTCAGAAATGTGCAGTGCCAAGGAGTCCCGTAGTAGCTTGAAATTAGCGTCCGCTGCTTCCAGGTTTTCAGTTTTCACCTAAGATCAGTTCGTGACCTTATTCTGAGAGTTAGTTAATTAATTTGTCTGGTCACATGTCTTACAAATACGTTATTGAAATCAACATAATTAACGATAATTATTGAACTTATTGTGCTTGAATACATAAAATGAATTATATGAATGGTTAGATGGAGAAATACAGATATACAGTGGTGACAATAGTATAAGATAATCATGTTTTCAATTCTAGTTGTATGTGCTTTAATTGTCGCTATCACCAAGTCACATTAGTAAAATAACAATTTGAATAGTTTCTAAGAATATACATAAATACTGATCAAAGGCAGAATCAATCAGTAATGAATCTATTACTGCAAAAACAAAACATGGGGTCATTTCATGATATCATTGACTTTTGGTTTAAGTCATGTTGACAGGTGCAGACTATCTAGTTGAAGGTGTACGTGATCAATGGTTCGAGATATTGTGTTTCGTGGCTGATAAACGGTAACAGTAAGACAAATGCATCTGCCTTCTATATTTTTCTGGATCTTGAATTCCGGTCTCCTTCCATACATATCTGTTCATTGTGTCGTTTTAAGCCTTGATCTCGACGCTCAGTCATTCTCATTATTACTGCAAATAAATCATTTCTGTTTATTCTTTATTCATCCTGTGAATCTTATTTCATCGTTCTAATGTAATGTAAAAACGTGTATTAATTCACATCTCTGTCGGACTATACGTTGATTTTGACTGACCCTTAATTTAATTGGTGAAGGATACAGCTTCCTTTTAGACCAGTAGCCAGTTAGAACATGGAAGGTAGACAGGATTTCTGTTATTCACTTATTTAATTCTACTCATTATAACTCAAAATTCATATAATAATACACATTAAATATCAGACAATATAATAAAATAAATAAGAAATTGCATTGTGTACATAACTGTCATATATGAGGTGAAACTAGATAATAGATCAGTAATTAATTAACAATAATTTGGGGAAATTACAACGTATAACAACAATTTATTGGTCAAGCAGATGCTAACAATTCTGGAAATACAAAAAAATAACAATACAAGTATTCATTAATTATACAATGAAAGTAGAAATAATAATAATAAATGCATCGTGAGATAGTTATGAATTTTAATCTTTACCGAATCCATTTCGATATCGTACTTATGATGAATTATAACCGTTTTAATTAGTAATCCCTTCGTCAACTGATTAGAATTGTTACCTTGTGTTTTACTATTATATATTTGTAAATAATATTGTCAAAATTTAACTGTTAAAATTACAACAGTCTCCAAAAATCCCCATCCTGATAATCATGTGCTCACTAGTGATTAGTTTCAAGATGGATTCCCTGAAGTTCTGGTGAGAAGCCGTGACTAGTAGAGTCCAGTCTGTATCGCGTGAAGACAGTTATCCACATCAGGCAATAGATGAAGGATTGTGCAAGGTCTTGAATCGAAGTTAGAAGTTAACACCATTGGATGTCGGCTCAGTGATCTAGGGGTTAAGCGTTCGCGCGAGACACCGAGAGTCCTGAGTTCGAGTCCCGCGTGCGGCGTCGTGAATGCTCATTATTGAGGAGTCCCATACTGGGACAAAACAGTCGTCCAGTGCTTCCAAGTTTTCAATGGTGGTCTAGCTTAAATCGATTCATGAATTCAAGTGTTAAAAAATAATTTAATAAAACAATCAATTTGTACAAGTGATCTATGTTGAACTTTGTAATTTGTACTGTTTTATGTCTTGATTTGAATGAATATGTTCGGAATATTTTCTAGTAAGAAGATATCACAGAACAATTAATATCAATAATCTGCATTGAATACAATAACGATCATAAAATGTATAACAACATTTATTGTATATCCTAGCAGTACTATCATTATCTTACGAAAATATTGACTTATTGATTAGTTACAACCGTCTCGTCAATTGAAACTCTTATTATGATTGAAATAATGTTTTTTGTGTCACTTTTACAGTATTCAACTTATACATGAACCATGTTCACATATTGATGAATAATGAAATAAACATTTTGTAGGAAATAATATAATAAGAATCCTGTAAAATCATTCACACCTATGTCCAAACCATAACAACAATAACAAGATTATCTATCCACTGAATAACAGTTACTAACATATAATTCCACAGATAATATGTATTCTCTTAATGTTTTTCTTTAATTTTTATACAGTATAAATGACCGATTGGTTTTTCATTAATTACTATTATTCAACTTATTCGTCACGTTCATCAAATTTCTTTTTTATTTCAGCAAGTTTATCAAAGAAAACAACAAGGCTTAAGAAAATTTCATCGTACCTTAAAATTTAGGTCGATTATCATGCCTAATGGACTAAATAAATCATTGTTCGAAGAACAGAAATGTAATACTACTAATGATATCCCAACTTAATTGAACAGATTAAACGAATTTTAAACAAACATAATTTGTTAATTAAGAAAGATGATAACATTCGCTTTATTTTTATTATGTAACAGTTCACTAGAAGTTTATTGAAAGAAGAATGCATTTCTTCTGAGTATTATTTTAGATTATTTTGTAATGATTTGATTAATTATGCATAAAATATTAGGAAAACAAGCGTATGGAAACGACTGATTATTTGAAGTTGACTATATGACAAGAATGAAAGTTGATATGACCGAACCAAATTGTAGATAATTAGTATTATTTCACAAATATACTAATTGACATATTTTTTAAAAATCTTGTGTTATTACACAATTATATTCCCTGAATTATATATTAAAATGTTAATAATATAGTTTTGATATCAATAAACTCATCTCAATATAAAAACTGGTCTATTTCTGGTTAAGTTTAGCTAGGATGATGAGGTAATCAGGAACAAGCAAGTCATTTCAAGGTTATGTAACAGATATCAAACCACTATGTTGACTATCGGACGTATGATGATTACATGTAATTGGTTCCCTTTATGAATTTAAATAAAGCAAGAACAAATATTGGTGCAGAATGTATGTATGATGATTAGCCTGATTGAATAAGATATCAATAAATACTTAGAGTTAAGAAACCTAACTCTAATCCTTACCTTAGATAACTTGAAATCATAATCCTAACCCTAAACTCCAGCGGGTAAAAACCTAAAGCCAACTTAGAACAATTTACTAATTGTTTTGAAATAAAATATACTTTTGAAGCAATTAGTCCCCTTAATAAATTTGGATAGTGTAATAAGAAGACATGTGATATATCACATGGTTCTAATAATATTCATCTTCTTATTACACTATCCAAAATATAATTCATAATCTCTTCCACTTTTTTATTATAACTTATACAAATATACTCGCTATTTCTTGATTGGCTGAGTAGGGATAAAAATTTCTCGGGAGTTTGACAAATTCATCTGTATTCTCAAAATCTGCTGGATTTTTATTTTCTCATTGTTGATATTTGAGAGATGCAAATCATCAATCTCTATTGATATATATGTATATGGATTATTAGCTGATTGCCTTCACACAGCATTTAAGTTGCACGTTTTTTTCCCTGTTGTTTTGAATTAAGAACAAAGATTGATCAATGGAATTAATCTAAAACTGATAATATTCCTTGAATTATTTGTTTTAAAGAATTTGTAAATTAAACTCATGATGTTATTACATTACAGACAACTGTACGTGTTCGGAAACTATTTTGCAGTCAGAATAAATGAGTATGATAAAATGAAGTACGTCGGCAGGTAGGCAAATCTTCGACTTCATCTATTCATATAAGAATGATTTTGTTCTAAAAGTTGGTCATCTGAAAATAAATAAGCTATACATCTTTCAAATTACAAAATGAGTTCATGTTATGTAACCACATAAGTAAACAAACACAATCAGTATGCCTATCTTTATTCAATTTATTACACATCAATATGATAATTCTATTTGAATAGAAATATGACATTTATAACAGTACTTTTAAGCTGATCAACTTACACACATCTTGTCTAAAATTATGTATTGATTTTTATTGGCCAAATAGGCCACGTGATATGGATATGTACACACACACACAGAGGGAATGTATAAAGGTCAATAACAAGACTGTTTAACCGTTTCAGTCGAGACAAGCAACAAGATATGATGAAAATATGTAAAATAAACGAGAAGTGTAGTGAAAATCCTTCCACTACTATTGAAGAAAATGTCGTTAAACAAACAAATATACAGTAAGTACATAGGACAAATGTCGAATATTTCATATGCAGTTATTAATTAGAATTGAATGAATATATTAATTAGAATAGATTTCTCTTCAATAAACTAGTGCTGTCTTAGGAATTAAGGTACACAACAGCCATAAAACAACAGATACTTTACTCCACATAATTTATTACTCGTGTTGTTATCATAATCTCTTCTTTTGACACCCACATAAATGTATGTAATAATGAATACAATTTTTATTTATACGTGGATTAAAGTATTGATCAAGTGTAAATTTGAGTATGGATTCATACATAGAAATAATCAAAGTTGAACTAGTTCATTTACATAAAATCGGTAGCCACAGTTCTGGATCTGGTTTTGAGATGATCAATACTAAGGCGGATTTTCAATTACTACTAATAGCATTCAACCACTAATTCTGATATTTTGGGGACCTCATGAAAGTAGTCAACTTTTGGTTTTTTATTTGCACCACACGTCTTTTGACTACTGGATTCACGTGGTCCATTACTTGACTAACAATTTCCTAATCTAATATGTATTCAGGGATTGTGTTTGGTAGCAGACAGTATAAATTGTATTTTCTATTCACTTCTGCTGATGATTAAACCTCTTAATTTAAGTACTTCTTGACAAGTTGTTCCACTAGAAAATAACTTATAGATCCATAAACCTCAAGTCCCTGACAACATCCTCCTTCAAACTTCATATGTGACACTTGTAAAGTAGGACAGTTGCTACACTATTTTTAGTGTATCGTCTGTTTCAGAAGTTATACAAGTTGCAAATGCTAAATGATATTTCTGTAACCGTGTTACGATTTATCAGTAATCAGGAGTGGCCCAACTGTTTAAATAAAAGAAATGGTTCAATTCTTTATTTAGAGAATGTCTTATTACTAGTACTCAATAATCTGCTGATGATGTAACCAATTCTAGTGCTCACAACTATCTACTTCGAATTATTCAATGTAGTTCTTAAAGTAGAAATAACGTTCACATATTTAAAGCACCCATCATTCCATACCAAGTAGTAGATAACAGTGTCATAGAAAAGGAATTTCAGAATTCTCTCAATGAAGTATTATAACGTTTCAATAGTGATTATGCATATCGACACAAAATCAAATAAAACCTTTATACACTGGTTAAAAAAACAATAATTTTCTGTGGAATAATATTAAGCTAATGAAATCGCGTTTAACCAATTAGTAATATACCTCTACATAAAAGATAATTGCGATGCAGCACATCAACGTGCAAAATTTATCTGCAAGGCTGATATTATTCAACATAATTACGAGTAATCAAAAATCGTCTGAATTCATATATAGAAGTAGTAATTTGATGACACATATTTGACGAGCTACGTTTCAGTACAACCGAGATCGCTACTCAATAAATGAACTACCATTACGATATACGATTCTATTACTTGGGTACTAAATTGCATACATTCTAAAAACTTACTTACAGGATATGTTTTGCCTGTAATAGTGTAGACTGAAGTAGCAGTTTACATGGAACAGTGGAGTGAAGAGCTGATATATCCAGTCAAAATGTTTAGCATTATAGGCCTATTGTGCGGAATCTTAGAGATATTTATTTATTTGAACACATAAATATTGGTACAAGAGAGCGCCAATATATATGCGCCACACAAAACAATGAGAATTCGAAGAGAAAGAAAAAAAGGGTGAGGAGCGTGAAAAAAAGGAGAACAATAACGAAGAAGGTTGGTGTAAGGTAGTGTAGTAATAATAATAGTAATAATGAGGGAACGGAAAGGTATAATCAGAAGAAATCTTTCAGTTAAGGGAGACACAACCACTTTTTATGAAGAAAGTAAAAGAAGGTTACAGCAGGATCACCGCTAGCTTCTATTCTGAGCCATATCTGATAACGTCTCTAGCCACTGTGTAGCACCATCTCTCGGACACCAACCAGGGAGTCGTGGAGGACCTACAGAAGCCAGTCCCTTGCAGCTTTCTTTCACACCACGACACCATGTCATGCACTGACCACCTCTCCGCTTCTTCCAACCAGTCCCAGAGGCGGCAAATAATGCACGACCTCGATTTCTGTGAGACGACATTCGTAGAACATGTCCAAGCCACCGAAGTCGGTGTTTCAGGATGGTGACATCGATTGCCTTATCATCTCTGTGCCCAAACACACGATGCCGAACCTCTGCATTACTGACATGGTGTTGCCACTGGATGTCAGCAATCCTTCGGAGACAGCGATGATCGAACACAGAGAGTCTTCTAACGTCCTCAACTCGGAGAGGTCAGGTTTCACAAGCATAGAGCAAAACTGCTCTCACCAACGCGTTGTAAATCCGACCTTTTACGGCCAGGCTAACATCACGAAGGAGCCAAAGATGGCCCAGATTGGCATAAGCCACTCTGGCTTTCACCATACGTGCATTAATCTCATCACTCACACCCCCCAGCACTTATGCAGCTACCCAATACACGAACTTCTCACTATCTATCTGCTCATCCAGGGTGAGTACAGGATTAGAATCCTCCCAGTCTTGTAGAAGTACTTTGCACTTCGAAGGTGCAAAGCACATACCATACCTACGGACACTGATTGCCAACTGATTAAGTGCGGATTGCATGCCTTGGGCATTATCGCACAGTAAGACAATATCGTCCGCATACTCAAGGTCGAGAAGTCTTTCTCCAGGCAACAGATCCACACCACCATTACTTACATTCATCAGAGCTGTTTCCAGAATGTCATCGATGGCAAAGTTGAAGAGGAATGGTGAGATTGGGCAACCCTGCCTAACCCCACTGCTCGAATGGAACAATGGAGAGAGGTGGTTGTATGCCCTCACTCTGCCTGAGGTGTTTTATATAGGGCTTTAGGATGTTAATAAACTTCTCAGGCACACCCTTCTTCAATAGACAATCCCAGAGAACAGTCCTGTCCAACGAATCGAAGGCAGCCCTGATGTCAAGAAACACTACGATTGTTGGCCTTTGAAAGTATGGCGGTGTTCTAACATTTGGCGGAGGGTGAAGATATGATCAATACATCCTCGACCAGAACGAAACCCAGCCTGCTCCTCGCGAGTCAATCTTTCTCGGGTTTTGAACAACCTACGAAGTATGACGGAAGCCAATAGCTTGGACGCAATCGGAAGTAGACTTATCCCCCGATAGTTGTTACAAGAACGACGTGAACCCTTTTT